TCACAATCTAATGTCTGTACTAGTCCTCACACAGCCACGGGTAACTTTAGAATGAGGGGAGTGCCTGGCCATGGCTCTGCCAGCTAAGTGCTGACGACAATGGGTCTTTTTCTTCAGGCAGCATTAGGTGAGGTATCAGCTCCACAGAGTCCATTCAGTGCTCTGTTGTCTGCTGATTCCTCCTCATGGCTTCTCTTTTTCTTTTTCTTTTCTCTCTCTCTCTCTTTTCACTGCTGGTTTGGAAGACCACAGAGCCTCTCACGGGCTAGGCAGGTACCCTATTCTGCCGAATTCCACCTCCGATTTACTTCCTCAATTTTCTAATAAAAGTTGTGGACTACCCAGCCACTCCTGAAAAGGTGGTAAGATAGATCAAGGGACAGTCAAGATGTCACCATTCCAGTCTGTGACTAAAATCAGACAGGAAACCCTGTGCCCCATAGATAAAGGAAGGCTGGGGCCAGGAAAATGACCTCAGATTTGTTTGGATTGCTATAAATCCTTCATGGGGGAAAATGTGTGATGCAGTTAGAATGAGGTAAAAGGGCATCTTTATAAATCATGCCTCATTTGCATGAGGGGGGTGTTGTGGGAAGTGATACTGAAGCTGTGTTTACTAGGTGAAAATACCTGGCCCAGGAAGAAGGCGGAGAAGGGTGTCCCGCGGTGGGTGCGCAGGGGAAGGTGAGCTCAGCGTAAACACTGCTGATCCTGTTCCCCTGGACACTTGCAGGCCCCAGCGGGAAACCAGAACAGGCAGATGGAAGAGCAGCCACTGCCTAAGTCACTGTGCCAGTTCGGTTCGGAGTGGGCCTCGCTCCTGAGGAGCTTTCAGTGAAGGCTCCAGGCTTCTCCCCACAGAGCCTGCCCACAACACAACTCCTTTGGGGACCAGAAGGAAGTGGACTGATGTAGTCAGTTGGTTTGGGTTATTGCCGTTGTTATTATTTTTAAAATAAGCAAACAAACAAAATAAACTTCCAAAGAGCTCCCAGGATGGCTAAAAGGGAACAAAACATTCCGCAGGCCACAGGAAAAGATGAGTAAGGGCCGAAGTCTCGTGTCCCAGCGTTGGCTGGCAGGGTTTCCGGGCTGTCACTTTTCTGTGTCCTCAAGCTTGAAATGCAAGGGTTGGGTGTGGGCAGCTGGACAGGGGGAATGCACTCACCGAGCATAAAGACTGAGTACTAGATCCAGTACCACACAGTAAAATAAAACTAAACAGAAGAAAAAAAGAAAGAAAGAAACGACAGCTTGGATTAGAATAGCTCTATTATGCTAAACGTATTAATCATGGACACGTTTAAAGGTACGAAAGTATGACAGAGCACTTCTGCCTGGGCATGAAATATGCTGGCACGAAAACAGGGGGCAGTGAATGAATTCACAGAGCAACTTATCTCATCAAAATAAGTAAGAGCTTATGTATAATGTGTATAGTATATGTTTTATAGATCTGTTTTAATATCAGAAATGGCTCTAATATACATTTTAAGCACTTTTTAAATGAATAGACTTTCTTAGAGCAGTTTTTAAGAAGATTTATTTTTATGTTTTTATTATTTTTGTAATCATGTGTGCTTAGACGTTGGAGCCCCTGGAGCTGGAGTTACAGGCAGCTGCCAGTTGATGTGGATGCTGAGAACCAAACGCAGGTCCTCTATAAGAGCAGTACGTGCTCTTAATGACCGAGGCATCTCTCCAGCCCTCTGAGAGCAGTCTTAGGTTTATAGAAAAGTCAAGGAGAAGGCACGGAGTTGCCACACACCTCTTGTCCTCCAGCTTGCACTGGATACGGTGGTTTTGTTCATGTGTGGGACAGCAGCGTGCCTTAGAAGACACTTTGAGAAAGTTTGATGCCGGAAATCTTTAAAGGCCCCTTCACCACCTCTGAAAAAACACAGAACCTTCCCTTCCAAAGGGCTTCCCACCTGAGCAGAGGCAGCCACCTTGCCCCTGACCCACATCCCCAGTCCTGAAAACCATAAGTGGTTTATTAAACCCCCAATAGCAAATCATTCAGCAAAGAGCATTTTCTTTCCCATGGCTTTCCATCTGAGTCACGTACTCACCCTATGACTCTACCACTCTCATCTGAAACACAAGAAAGCAATCTAAACACAAGGCAAACAGAGAGACGAGAGAACAAACTTCCTGGTGTCCGACCCTGGTCTCTCAATGGGCCACATAGCTCTTGGGTGACTCTGCGTGGGATTGGAAGCTCCACCGAGGGGCGGTAAGCCCAAAGGGGGGAAAATCCTATTTTGGAGATTCAAAGAACCAACCGAAGAAACTTGATCCCCACTGCCAAGGAATGGACTAAAAATAGAATGTATGGGGAAAGAAGTTGGATAAATCCATGAACAAGTGCATGACACGTGATTAAAGGCAAATCGCTACCCCTGGAAGCTGCTCCTATGGACAGCCATTGCTTCCTCTTGCCTGTCAGATACAGTCACGGGCTGGGCACATCCAGACTTGCCTGCCTCCAGTATGGAGTCACTTTCTTTTTCTCAGAGCAGTGAGCAGGTACCATGAGAGGAACTGAAAATAACCTACCGGTCGCTACAGCACTCCAACACTTAATGTTCTGTTTTAATCTTTATCCACTCATTCCTGTAGGGCTTGTAGAATTCACACCACAGTTCACATACAAACTTGTTTTCCACTTACCTGGGGGAAAGGTGATATTTCTAATTTTGATACGTCTATGTAATTATTTTGTCAACCATCCTAATACTATACAATACCGTACTACACTGATTTGTTGTATGGCACTGTTCCTCTATTTTTGAACTTAATTATTTCCAGTGTCACATAATCAAAACAGTGTTTTAGACCAGGCTTGATGGTGTGTTGTGGTCTTGGGAGTTCAAGGTCAGCCTAAGTTACATAGTCAGTCTCCAAACAAACAAACAAACAAACAAACAAAACCCAATGCTTTAGATCTATTATAATCACATGTGGACTTTAAAAACTTATTATTATTAGATTAAAAATTCTGATGAAGGACTACTTCAAGAGAATTACCTGATTTTTCACTTTAAATTTTTATCATTTGGAACTTAGTAGGGATTTGAAAGAACAGTACAACCCCCCCCCCCCCCCCCCCCAGCATGCCTGGTGAGTGATTCTCCCTAGGCATCACCATTTCTAAGAGTTGCTTTCATACTTCCCTTTGTCACATCCATTGTTTCTCAGAATGTGTGTGAGTGTGCAATTCACACATCTGGTCCAGCTGGCCAGTTCCAAGTCTCCAGTCTAGATAGAGGCCTAGACAGTATAATGCTGATACTTCTTAGGAAATATGAACAGTTATCTATTCACCCTAGACACGTTACTGAGACAGGCAAAAGAAAGAATTCCTGAGTCTAGCTTGGAGAATTAAACAGTGAGTTTAAACGAGGATTACGTACAGGAGTATGGGTGAGGGGTGACCTATGGGAGCACAGGTATATAGTTATATCACAGAGGAACAGTCCCTCACCACCACAGCATTTGTTAATAGCCCATACATCCTCTGGAAAAAGTGGGGGCAGGGAGATGCAGGTCTGTGAGCCTTGGATCTTGGTAGGGTCTAATTTCGAGACAGGACCAGCCATGGCGTGCCATAAGGGGGCACAGCACCAGGGTATGCTCCAATAACCCCAGCTGGGTGCTTCCCTTTAAAAGGAGGCCCTCTTAGGTGGTAAACAGAATGCCTGCCCCCTGGTCCGCAGCCACACAGCCAGCTTCTTGCCCATGTCTCTTTCCTTGGGCTTTTCTCGGAACCACATCACTTCTTCTTTGGTGTTGGGTGTCATGCTGGTCTCTGTCCCGGTGCCCATCAGCTGTCCACTGCCCTCTGCCCACAACACTCTCTGCAGAGAGGACCCCCACTGCAGAAGCTTGCCTTAGGGATTCTTTCTTCCACACTTCTCACCCTCCCGTCCCTGTTATCAGATGTGGATTTTATTTCTCTTCAGAGCAAAGGGCTTCTAGGCACGTTTCCCAGGATGTGATGTCACCAAGATTTATTTTCATTGTCCCACCCCATGCAATCCTTTGACTAAAATCAAAGTTCCCATTGTCAGGGCCTCAGCTTGCCTTACGTCTGGCGTCTGGGGCTCCCCTGGAGTCTGACAGGGGAAACAAACGCAGGGACGGTAGAAACACAAAAGCTGAGGTTTCTGGAACTATCCGGTTTTAGATGGTCCTATCCTTTGTGTGCATTTCAGCAAAGCTGGAGCAACTATGACCACTAAGAAACACTCCTCTTGGCTACTCACCAGCCAAGAGTGACAGACCGAGGTCACTGGCCGAGCCTCTGTGATGTGCAGACAGCTGCAGAGGAAGACTAAACTGGAATTTTGGGTGACTTGGTGCCCCGGGACCATTGAGGCTTCTGTCGGTTGTGAAAGGGTGTAGGTCATCAGAAGGGCAGTTTTCAGGAGCTCTCATTGAGGGGGAAGGCTTAGGGGAAGGATGGCTTGTAATGAATTTCAGAGGGCCGACGCGGAAAAGACCTGCTCCATTTGTCCTTCCCTTTTCTCAATTCCCTGAGAGCTCTCCGCTGAGAAGTGGCCGGGAAGCGCCTCAGCCCAGCGGCCTGGGAGAGCAGCAGGTCAGAGGTAGGGAGAGCATCAACAGCCCTGACGTCATGGGCTGACTGTCCCCAGTCACTCCCAACCCCGCACACGTCTGCCCGGTGTCCAGGAGTCCTGGAGTGTTGTTACTTCTTCAAATTCCAGAAGACATCCCTAGCCGGGCGGGGCTGTTTAGAACTATAAACTCATGGTCACCACAGGGGCTTAGAGCAGCCGATCCTAAGAGTCCCTTTTAGGCCTTTGAGACCGGGATTTGAAAACAGGATGATTCTTAAGTCCCTTCCAACTCTGAAAATTCCTGTGATTCGATGACATCAGGACGGTGAATAATCAAGCTGGCGCCCAGCCAAGGCTGGCTGTGCTCCTCCGCGCGCACTTCCTCCCCCTCCTTAGAGACACAGACTGCTCCATTGGCTCTTGGAGTGGCCCGGTCCACCCGGCACCCACCGGCACAGGAGGAACCCGCCTACACAGAGCCGCTGGCCCCACCCCTCCTTCACCCTTAAAATCGGCTTGAACTGTTGAGGGAGACAGAGCCTGCGGTAACCCAACAGCTCAGCGCCAAGAAGAAGCCCCTGCGAGGCTGAGAAAGAAGCAAGAATTCGCGGTAAGCTGCATTGCTGCGCCCATGTCACAGCCGACTCCTCTCCTTTTGAAGTGTTTGGGGGATAAACTGAGCCAGTGAAGGAATGCTTGTTGGAAGCACTGACTTATAATTCGGGCAGAAAGAGGACCAGCTAGCATCCGCACTTAAGGGGGAGGTCTTCGCAATGACCCCGGGTAAGCTGAAGGGGTTCCTAGAGGGAGAGAACAGGAGAGATGCGTTTCTTGCAGAAGTTTTGCTTGCACAGTAAGGGGAGAAAGTAAAAAGAATGACTCCGGTTCTCTGCACAGACAGCGGGAGGGAGCGGCACTAACGGGCAGTAGCTGCATTCAGCTGCCTTAGAGAGCTGAGAGGATCCTGGCGGATGCTGCATGGTTGCCTTCTTTCCTCAGTGGCCCCGCTAAGAAACAGGCTGGGCAACAAGGAGGGGGATTTGCCTGGACAGCATGATTAATAGGCAGGAAGTGCTGGGAGAGAGAAGTCGGGACTTTTAGGAACCTCTCATTACCACTTGGAGTCAGGATGCAAAACTGCGTCTGGTCCCTCGCCCGGTCCATCACATCCTCTCAACATTTTACCAGTCAGTTTCACCCCTTGCTCATCACCCACCAGTGCGTTTGATTTCTCATGCTGCGGTAGGAAAAGTCTAAAAGCTCTGGGGATCTCTCTCGGGATTCAGGACCTTTGTTTTCCTAACCTCACAGAGACAGTGGGAGGACCCCGGAGGGTGGGGGAGGGAGGGAAAGTATGCAGAGCTCCCAGATAACTAAGAACAAACTTCAGTGCCAAGAAATGCGGTAGCCATGGTTTACTTGGTGGCCAGTTTGGAATGATACAGTGGCCTTCCACATCGGATAATGGGGTGGGGGCATATAAAAAAAAAGTGTGTGTGTGTGGTTCAGGTGGGGGTTTACAATCACAAATACATGGAGTATACTTACTGAAAGACTATTTAGGAATTTTTTTGCTGCGCTCCAGACCCTGGCCGATCCAGAACCAACCAATGCAGGTCAGCAGCATGCTGAGTGCATACAGCCAGTCGGGGTTAAATCCTATTCAATCCCAGACTGGCTACTGGAAACTGCCCATCAGTTTATTCCACCTCACATGTTCTCAGGAGAGCCAGCCTGTAGAAGCAATACTAGTCACACACACACACACACACACACACACACACACACACACACACACACACACCGAAGCTGGATCAGGGCAGACTTTCCAGGGCACCCCCAGATTATTTGGGAAGCCTCCTGTGAAGCTGGTCTGCTTCCTCCCAGACCCAGGATGCTTGATGCAGCCGGGAGGGGCTGAGGAGCATCTGTGTTTCTGCGAAGGCTTTTGGGACTGAGGAGGAGAGGAAGAGCTGCATGCATTCAGAGCGCTCACTGAGCAGTGTGCTCAGTCAGGGAGTGAAAATGACTCAGAGAGTCCTGCAGGGCTCATCAACTGGAAGAACTGGTGTGAGCTTTAAGGTGAAAACATATGTGGTTGTTTTCAGTCTGTGGTGGAGGCTGCAACGTGGCTCATCAGCAATGGCAGTGGGCTTAGTCCATTCAAATCGTAAAATTCCCACACTTCTCTGAGACACCAAGTCTGTGAGTGAGAGCCGTTTGCGGTCTGAGTTGAAATAGTTACTGCAATCTGACTACTCGGCCACTGTGCATCTATTGTCTCAGAATCGTTTCTCGCTTCTTTGTTTTCTCTGAGTGATTTCAGCTGTGGTCTGGTAAAATCGGGTCACGAAGAACTGGACTATTCTGCTAATTCCTTTTGGGGGGCCATTTGCTTTGGGCAAATTGGCAGAAAATTCTGCACGAAGTGACTAAACACAGAAACGGAGAATGAATGCCAGCTTCCAGCTAGCCATGTGACAGGTCTCACTTCAAACCCAGAGTGCTGATGACCCAGATTTGTAGAAAATTAGAGCCAGAGCTGGGGCTGTAGCTTAGCTGGAGGAGTGTTCACCTCGCATGCAGGGAGCCTTTAGGCTTGATTCCCAGCACCACATAAACTGGGTGTGGTGGTGAACACCTGTGATCCCTAGCACTCCGGAGATAGAGGCAAGGAGATCAGAAGTTTGAGGCTAGCCTGGAATACAATGAGATCTTATCTCAGAACGAAAGAAAGAAAGAAAGAAAGAAAGAAAGAAAGAAAGAAAGAAAGAAAGAAAGAAAGAAAGAAAGAAAGAGAAAGGAAAGAAAGAAAGAAAGAAAGAGAAAGGAAAGAAAGAAAGAGGAAAGGAAGAAAGAAAGAGGAAAGGAAGAAAGGAAGGAAAGAAAAAGGAAGTTACAAATAGAGAGTCTCAAAGCCTTGGTTAAGCGCCATCGTCTTCTAATACTGGCCCGACTGTCTACTTTCACCTTTGTGGGAGACAAACTTTCATAGATAGGAACACAAGGTGAGATTAAACTCGATTCCTGGTTACCAGAACAGAGAATGAAGCAGAATGCTGGGCATGTAGCACTCATATCTCTGGCATGTTTGAAGGGGCGGCCCAGGAGAGCTGTGTCAGCACAGCCCAGGAAACACGAGCCAGCTGTTCTCGGTGCAGTAATTAAGGAACTAGGTGTCCTTAGCAGCGCTTACCATGCCACTGGCCAAGATTCTGGGGGTGACCTGTGATTGACAGGTCCGACTGAGGTGTACAGACTGACTATGCGATGCTCCTGGTACACATCGGACAGAGACCTCTAGAATTTTCTTTGGGGATTGACCTAGAAGACCCGAGTCCACCTGGGGCCTCTGAAGTGATCACTGCAAGGTTAGGCTGGCCCCACAAACTGTAGACTTTTGTACTGAAAGTCTTTTATGTGGAGGCAAACATTCTGTTAGCTTACACCTAAGGATTAAGGACATCACACGGAAGTAGTTAGATGTGTCAGCTGCTAATTCCAAATTCCCGAAGAGCTTTAGAGGCCCTGGTGTGTGGTGTAAATGGGCCTGAAAAAGACACATAAGAAAACAGATTAAAGATGGGATACAAGATGTCACTTTGCTCTCAGGAAATAATGGCTCCTGTTCATACTGCTCTCTGAACACGGATGAAGGAAGGGCATGACAAATTCTATCATCTGTCATATGAGCTAGGAAAATTTGTTATTAACCCTTGAAGACTGTAAGGACCCCAGAGAGCTTGGCACTTCTTCTTTATCAGTAGCTTCAAAGCAATTTGAGCTGTTGACGAGGGTATTCATGACGAGTGCAGTGCATACCGGCCATGCATCAGGTCTCCAGGATCTGTATCTCTTACTTCTCTAACTTTTGGAAAAATACCCAAGATGGAAAGGATTAGCTCCTTAGGAAGCCCAGGAAACTAAGGCTCGGAGAAGCAGCATTGCCCACCCAGACCTGTAAGTGGCACTTAGGGGGTCTAAGTTGAGAGTTCAAGGGTCATGCTCCTTGCATTGAGAAATGCTAGCTCTCTCTGAGCACTGTTACTGAGAATGTTACTAGTAGGGCTGGGTTTAGGGTCAGTGGTTGAGCATGTGCTGCTAAGTATGGGCAAGGCTCTGGGTGTAACCCACAGCTCCTGAAATTTAAAGAGAGAAAGAGAGAGAGAGAGACAGAGAGACAGAGAGACAGAGACAGAGAGACAGATATATAGAGAGAGAGACAGAGAGACAGAGAGAGGAGAGGAGGAGGAGGAGGTCGGAGACTGGGATAACTCAGGAGGCAGGTGTCAGTCCCCAAGCTACCAACCACCTCAGAGAGTTCTTTTGAAGGTCTGTCTTGGTTTCATATCTGTAAAGTGAGATATGTTGTCTTAAGTGATTAATAAACCATAAAAACCCAATGCCAGGCAAGTGTTGGCATTAAGATCCCTGCTGAGTAAGTGGGGGTCCGTGTTCATCCATGCTCAGTTCTCATTCACTGCAGCGCTGCTTTCTGGAAAGGCTGGTAAAATTCAGATCCATTGGTGGAATGGAATGATGAACCCTTCTGATCATGACCTGATTCAAGAGTGTTACCAGCCAGGGGCATTTCATGGTTGATTCATTGCACCTGGGTAGGGTGGGGTTCGCTTTAGGGAGTGAAAGGAGGCTGGGAGCCTAGATGGATCCTGGACTCTCTTTGTTTAGCACCCCCCACCCCCCACCCCTTTGGAATGAGCATTGCATTGCATGGCACTGACTGGCTGAGCTCGCCTTTTCTTCTGAAGCTATGAGATCATTAAAGCCAGTTTCTTTTGTTTTTATCCTAAGAGGATGCAGGATACACTTCCTAAACCCACAACCAACACTTGCTTACTTCTTCCAACAACCAGGTCTCCTGGTAGAAGGTAGAGCAGGAGAGTCAACATGTAGCTTAGGCGTGCACACACACAGACCAAGACAGAGGGAGGGAAGAAGGGGAAATTCTCTCTTTGTTATAAAGAACTCTGTTCAAAATTGAAAAGAGAAGATAAGCATTTGACCTATGGAAAATTACTTTTTCGAGAAGTTAAGAATTGCTTTTGAAAATCACATTTATTTGTTTATTCATTTGTTTGTGTATGTGTGTGTGCGTGCATGAGCACTCATGCTTGGGATCACAGACCAACTTCCAGTTGATTCTCTCCTCCACCACGTGGGGCTCTGAGCTTGAACTCAGGTCATCATTGCCTTGACCTGCTGAAGCGTCTCATCAGCACTCGAGTTTCTTACACGCTGGCCGATTTTGAAAATAGTTTAGCTGGGTGTGGTGGTGCATGCCTGTCATACAGGCATCCAGTAAACAAACACAGGAAGGTCACAACTTCAAGACCAGCCTGAAGGATACGGCAAGTTCTAAGTCAGCCTGAGCTACCTAGGGAGATCCTGTCTAACACCAAACAACAACAAAACCAAACAATAAGGCCCCAGAAAGAAAAAAAAAAAACAAGGGCCGAGAATGTGGGTCAATGGTAGAGCTTAGCTTGCTCAGCATGCTGATTTAATCACTGGTACGTCCACTCCCTGCACAGGGAGGCAAATAAAAGCCCCAGACTGTACTGTCTATAGGGGTGAGGTGGGCTGTCTTTG